CCCACTAGGTGCGCAATTTTTATACATTCGGGTGTCCGGATACACGTGGACAGACATCCACAGACATACACCATTAATCCCCTGCCTCCTGTGATGATAATCCCGGTTGGGCTTCCAGTCCACTACGTTTCCTACTACCAGTACAAACCCACCCACGTGACTTTATCGAAAGAACCAAAGCGCGAGGATTCCTGCAGTCACGAAAGCTTCAAATCAAGATTGAGTTTCATTTGACCAGGGTAAGGCCCCAACCAAACTGTGTGCAGCTCATTTTCAGACGCGGCCCTCGCCGTCACAAATAAGAGTTCAACAAAGTTGCCTTGCTGACGACCACGTGGAAATTCATAGCGGCAGGCAGATGCTCGAAACGAGCGGTTCTTAAAGATCAACTGCATCCCTGCAACCCATGTGGTTATCAATGGTTAAAAACATTGTTACGTTAATAATAAATACAAAGAGGGTTTTGACGAAACAAAGTTGTTACTCACGTGGCCGTGGCTTCATTTGTTTGCGATTATTTACCTGCGAAACAAATCTGGCCACGTCTCGCTACCCCCCAGAAAGGGCATCTTGCGTGATGCACCCCAGGCTAAGAAGAAGCGCCGCTCGGAACGCGCGGTGACCTCGATTCTAAACGTGGAGGGAAAAACCGGAGGACCCGGAGGAAAATCCAAGCCACCACGGGGAGAGAGAGAGACACGCAGACTCCAAATATACAGCAGCAGGCGTCAGGGGTTGGGATCGAACCCACGACCTCCTGTAGACCAGGCGAGGTAGTTCACATCTCATAGCCACCGTGATGATGATGAGACGCAAACTCTAAATACAGCAGCAGGCGTCAGTGTCGGGATCGAACCCACGACCTCCTGTATACCAGGCGAGGTAGTTAACATCTCCTAGCCACCGTGAGATGGAGCCCACGACCTCCTGTAGACCAGGCGAGGTAGTTAACATCTCATAGCCACCGTGAGATGGAGCCCACGACCTCCTGTAGACCAGGCGAGGTAGTTAACATCTCCTAGCCACAGTGGACACTCAAAGACCTGTCCCGGGGAGGTTCTGCCGAGCAGCGCCCACGACAGCAACATTCACCAACATTTTTATTTGAAAATCTGCGTTCACAATTCACGGTCTTCAGAGATCCAACACCACCCCACCCACCCACAGAGAGACAAACAAAACGAAAAGTAACAACAACAACAAACTTAAGAGAAACGTGACGAAAAAAAAGTGCCCGTGATTTTGAACAGCATGGAAAAATTTTCAGCTTTATTTTAAATGAGTGAAAGACAATTTTTTTTACGTTTCTACATCCAAGGGCTAAATATTTTATTTTTCTCTCTCACCCCCCCCCCAACCAAGAATTAAGGAAAAAATCCGAACCCAGCTCCAAAAGGAAGGCGTCACAAACCCAGGCCATGTTTTACTCAACCCCAACCACCACCCAACCCACTCCCCCACCCAACCACCACCCCTGGGGTCAGCTTGCGGTCACAATTGGCATCGGGGAATCCCGGTCCGGGCCTTTTGGCCAAAATCACCGCAGAGCCGTGCCCAGGCCTCGTGCCGACCTCGCAAGACCCGCCGCCGACAGCCCTTGGACGGGCCAACGCAGTAACGCGCTGCGGGTAGCCCAGCGCGCGCGGAGGTACGTGCGTGTACATGTACACGTACACGCGTGTGCGTGTACATGCACACGTACGTACGTGTAGAAAGACGTTGGGGGTTTGTCGGTGGTGCACCAGCCGGTCGTCTCGGTCAGTCGACCCGTGTGGCACCTGCCGGGTCTGCCCCGTGACCTCCTGCCAGCGGGCGTTCGACGCTTCACGTGGTAGCCTCAAGGTGCACAATGGCCTGGCACAAGCGTCGCCGTGACGTCGCCGCCACTTAGTGGCGGTTGTTGTTGTTGTGTGGGTGGGTTTGTGGCTGTGTGTGTGTGTGTGGGGGGGGGCTACGGGTTGACCGAAGAATCCAACCGTGACGTGTATGTACATGAGCGGGCACGCGCTCCCCCGTGACCCTCGCCTGCGACGGCAGACGGCCTGTGGACCTTCGAGAAATCGACCGTCAACCCCCGAATGGCCGGCTCCAGGTATCACAATTGTATTTTTGGTTCTTTCGGTAAAGTTACGTCTCCCCCTCCCCCCCCCCCCCAACTCTTTTCCGAACATGGATGGACTCGTCCATCTGAACAAACTGGCAAATCGCTCTCCGTGGTGCTAACGTCAAAAAAATAACCCGCCACTTTTTTCAAATGTTCTTGCTGTGGTTTTCACACACCTGATGATGATTGCTTGCGTTGCAGTCGAAACGTCGTGAGAATTTGATCGCTTTGTATTTTTATTATTTTATTGTTTCCCTTGTACGTGACTTCACCGAAGGAAACAATATTGTTTTATATTTTTATTATTCTACTGTTTCCCTTCTACGTGGTGGCGACTTTACCGAAATAACCAAGAATATGAATCCCTGCAGTCACGAAAGCTTTAAATCAAAATCACAATTGTAGTCGCTGGCCCGAACGTTTTCGCAAGGCGCGCGAGGTCCCCCAAGCCTCCAGACTTTACACAATCGGATTCGGTAAATATATAAAGAGGATCGGGGGGGGGGGGGGGGGGGATAGTCCACATTTTTTTTGTTCTTACGTTCGACTGCAGCCATTTGGACTCAATATTGCAAGTAGAAATCCAGTCCGGATTTTCAACCGTGGCTGCAATGATCCCAGTCAGGATTTTCCCTGTGGCCCTGGGCAAATTGCCCCCTCATTAAGGGGGTTATCGCGAAGGGGGGGGGAGGGGGGAGGTAATGGTTTTCCCACCGAAAAGCGAACCCGGATTCGTGCCAAACGGATCTGGAGTGAAGTCTGATTGCCGACAAGTCTTTACACCGTAACACCGTTCTCATCCCAACCCTTCGCTACGTAACCACCGCTGGTAAGGGGAGTGGGTGGGTGGGTGGGGGTGTTGGGAATGTGCCCGTGACGGTGAGAGGATGACTGTGCGAGTGTGTACGCGCGTGCGAGTCTGCACAGCTGCGGGGGAGGGCGCGTGCGGGTAGTGTAGCGGTTACATCGCTACGCCGCGCTACGAAACCCGGCGAGCCGAGTCAGATTCCCGCTCACGGCCAACACCGGTGACGATCATCTGAACCGGTCCTGGGCCCCCTCCCCTAGGTCGACTCGGCCTCAAACGAGTACCCGGCGCGGTGTGTAGTAAACATCGCCGCTGGGGAGACAAAGGCGGCCGGGCGTGGTGCTGGCCACCCACCCCCCTCGCGTGCCCTGCCGAGCCTTTACGGAAGAATCTTTTGCATCGTGTGGGGAGTTGCTCGCCAACGGCACTTGCCCCAACGATCTGCCGAGGCTATACGAGAGGGGGGGTGTCTTTGTACGTGGGGAGTGGCGGTGCAGTGGCGAGCTCGCCGCGCAACCAACACCGCGGGGGGAGTTCGATCCCCGCTCAGGGCCACCACCAACCGCACCGGCGACGATTGTCTGGACCGCACCGCAACCGGAGTGGTACTCCGGGCCTCGTGTGCCGGGCGGGATGGGGGTGGGCAGGGTGTGATTAAAAACCCGCCTTGATCCGTTAAAACACACCACTACCACCACCACCACCGCCGCCACCACCACCACCCCCGGTGCTTAAAAAAAAAAGTTATTACGGGGACTACCGTTTTTTTTTAATGGAGAGATAACGGGTGATAACACATAGCGTCACAAAGTCAAGGAGTCTCTCCCCCGCCCCCCACCAAACCACCCTCTCTCCCACTCTGTTCGTCGCCAACGCACTAACTGGAATCTCCTGCTGGGACCGGAGAGAGAGTGGTGCACATTTCCCCGTGGTGTCGTTTGCAAGTTCTCACAAGTGCTATAACATTTAGTTTTCTTTTTTAAGCACCCTGTCATTTACGCAATCTAACACCCCCCACCCCGACCCCCCCCCCCAAAAAAAACCGCACTGCTGATGAGATATTGGTCACGCAAAGCCTCCTCTCCCACGCGTTCAACTTCCCTCCACGCCGATGAAGACTGCGGTGGTTTTAAGTGGAGCCTGCCGCGGCGTACCGCGGCGCGCATGGTCTACGGGCGGTACACTGGATGTGGTGTGCCGGGCCGGTACAATGAATGTGGTGTGCCGGTACAATGGATGTGGTGTGCCGGGCGGTACAATGGATGTGGTGTGCCGGGGGGGACATTGGAGGTGGTGTGCCGGACGGGTACAATGGATGTGGTGTGCCGGGCGGTACAATGGATGTGGTGTGCCGGGGGGGACATTGGAGGTGGTGTGCCGGACGGGTACAATGGATGTGGTGTGCCGGACCGGTACCACTGGATGTGGTGTGCCGGGACGCGGTGAGCCTGGCCGGATGTGGGTTGAAGGTTTTTAACTCCCAAGTGATCCCCCCCCTCTCTCTCGCCTCCGCCGTTCCCTTCCCGCAACTCTCTAAGCGTGCCGCTCTCACGGACACCTCTTCTCGGTCTTCCGTGGAACTTTAAAAGTGGATTCCTTTTCATCTTCTTAAACTTTCATTTTTTTTTATTTAATTTCGGCTCCGAATGTTTGGTCCGAGTTTTGACAAGTGCGTGGTGCGTGCGTTCAAGTGTGCGCCCGTGTGTGTGTGTGCGCGTGTGCGTGCGTGTGTGTGTGCGCGTGTGTGTGTGCGTGTGTGTGTGCGTGTGTGTGTGTGTGTGCGCGTGTGCGTGCGTGTGTGTGTGCCCGTGTGTGTGTGTGCGCGTGTGCGTGCGTGTGCATGCGTGTGGCTAAGTGTGTAAGTATGTTGAACTTCTTTTGCAGCGTACGTAGCCGACCGTGCTAAACGGAGGGGCGTGTGTGGGCGTGTGTCTGTGTGCGCACGTGTGTGCGTGCCAGTGTATATTCAGAGGCGTGCATGAGTTTGTGTATGCGAGCATGCGTGTGTGTGCATGCGTGTGTGTGTGCATGCGTGTGTGTGTGTGTGCATGCGTGTGTGTGTGTGTGCATGCGTGTGTGTGTGCATGCGTGTGTGTGTGCATGCGTGTGTGTGTGTGTGCATGAAGAGGGCACAAAGGTGCTGTCACACTAACAAGCACTCGCCCCAACGGCCTGTTAAAGGTCTTTGCGCGCGCGTGCGTGCGTCTGTGTGTGTGTACGTGTAAGTCTACCAGTACGTGTGTGAAGATGTGTGCGTGTGTGTGTGTGTGTACGTGTGCAAGTCTACCAGTACGTGTGTGAAGATGTATGTAGCTCGCGCGTGCGTGTTGTGTACGTACGTATATATGTGTGTGTGTGTGTGCGTACGATTGCTGCTGTTCTAACACCACTTGTCCCAACAGCCCATTGCAGGCTATACGGGCAACCTTAATATGAGCGCGTGTGCACGTACGTTTGTGTGTGTGTGTGTGCCGTGCCGGCCTTCAGAGGTGCTCGCGAACAAGCACTTTGCCCCAACAGTCTGTTAAGGCTACACGGGGGATCTTTGCCTTTGTGTGTGTGTGTATATATATATCTATGTGTGTGTGTGTGAGAGAGTGGAAAGTCGCCCCTCACACGATCTCGTATTTGTCCACAACGAGTGAAGTCTCTGTGGAGAACTTGCTTGGCAAATCACCGTCGACCAAACTGACTCCCGTCACCTGTGAACACACAAACATAAATCATCAACACCACCAACCACTCCCGTCACCTGTGAACACATCATCATCAACACCACCAACCACTCCCGTCACCTGTGAACACACAAACACAAATCATCAACACCACCAACCACTCCCATATCACCTGTGAACACATCAACAGCACCAACCACTCCCATCACCTGTGAACACAACGTCACCAACACCATCATCATCACCACCAACCACTCCCATCACCTGTGAACACATCAACATCATCATCAACATCACCAACCACTCCCATCACCTGTGAACACCGTCACCAACACCATCATCAACATCACCAACCACTCCCATCACCTGTGAACACATCAACATCATCATCAACACCACCAACCACTCCCATCACCTGTGAACACATCAACATCATCAACATCATACCATCAACATCATCTATCAACACCTCCCCGTTACCTGTGAATACAGCAACATCACCGCCGTCATCATCGGCCCAGCATGCCGGACTAGTCACTAGGGTACAGGGCTAGTCACTAGGGTGCAGGGCCAGTCACCAGGGTACAGGGCTAGTCACTAGGGTGCAGGGCTGGTCACTAGGGTGCAGGGCCAGTCACCAGGGTACAGGGCTAGTCACTAGGGTGCAGGGCCAGTCACCAGGGTACAGGGCTAGTCACTAGGGTGCAGGGCCAGTCACTAGGGTACAGGGCCAGTCACTAGGGTACAGGGCTGGTCACCAGGGTACAGGGCTAGTCACTAGGGTACAGGGCCAGTCACTAGGGTACAGGGCTGGTCACCAGGGTACAGGGCTAGTCACTAGGGTACAGGGCTAGTCACTAGGGTTACAGGGCTGGTCACCAGGGTACAGGGCTGGTCACTAGGGTACAAGGCTGGTCACTAGGGTACAGGGATAGTCACTAGTGTACAGGGCCAGTCACTAGGGTACAGGACCAGTCACTAGGGTACAGGGCTAGTCACCAGGGTACAGGGCTAGTCACTAGGGTACAGGGCCAGTCACTAGGGTGCAGGGCTAGTCACTAGGGTACAGGGCTAGTCACCAGGGTACAGGGCTAGTCACCAGGGTACAGGGCTAGTCACTAGGGTACAGGGCTGGTCACTAGGGTGCAGGGCTAGTCACTAGGGTACAGGGCTGGTCACTAGGGTACAGGGATGGTCACCAGGGTACAGGGCTGGTCACTAGGGTACAGGACTAGTCACTAGGGTACAGGACTAGTCACTAGGGTGCAGGGCTGGTCACTAGGGTACAGGACTAGTCACTAGGGTACAGGGCTAGTCACTAGGGTACAGGACTAGTCACTAGGGTACAGGGCTGGTCCCCAGGGTACAGGGGTAGTCACTAGGGTGCAGGGCTGGTCACTTGGGTACAGGGCTGGTCCCCAGGGTACAGGGCTAGTCACTAGGGTGCAGGGCTAGTCACTAGGGTACAGGGCTGGTCCCCAGGGTACAGGGCTAGTCACTAGGGTGCAGGGCTGGTCCCCAGGGTACAGGGCTAGTCACTAGGGTGCAGGGCTGGTCACTAGGGTACAGGACTAGTCACTAGGGTACAGGGCTGGTCCCCAGGGTACAGGGCTAGTCACTAGGGTACAGGGCCAGTCACTAGGGTACAGGACCAGTCACTAGGGTACAGGGCCAGTCACTATGGTACAGGGCCAGTCACTAGGGTACAGAGCCGGTCACTAGGGTACAGGGCTGGTCACTAGGGTACAGGGCCAGTCACTAGGGTACAGGGCTGGTCACTAGGGTACAGGGCCGGTCACTAGGGTACAGGGCTGGTCACTAGGGTACAGGGCTGGTCAGTAGGGTACAGGGCCAGTCACTAGGGTACAGGGCTGGTCAGTAGGGTACAGGGCCAGTCACTAGGGTACAAGGCTGGTCACTAGGGTGCAGGGCTGGTCACTAGGGTACAGGGCTAGTCACTAGGGTACAAGGCTGGTCCCCAGGGTACAGGGCTGGTCCCCAGCACGCCGGGCTGGTCCCCAGCCTACCGCGATGTCGCAGTAGGTCTTGCGGGAGAGGAAGGTGACGGAGAGGGGGAAGAAATCTGAGGGCAGGCCGGGGCAGCTGAACTCGAGGCTGCCGCTCTTGGCCTTGGCGTCGATGAGGGGCAGCCGCCACTCCAGCTGCCCCCGCCTCGTGTCGTGGGAGTACTCCCCGTCCAGCTCGCCCACCACGGGCACGCCCGCCCCGGCGCTACGGGAGACACGGCGGGGGGAGACACGGGGAGGTGGGGAGACACGGGGGGGGGGCAAGGTGAGATGCGGGGAGACAAGGCGGGGAAGAGACGGGGGTGGGGAGACACGGGGGGGGGGGGGCGGGGGAGACACGGGGTAGAGGGGGAGACACGGGGGGGGGGGAGACACGGGGATAGGGGGGGGAGACACGGGGGGGGGGGGGGGGAGACACGGGGGGGGGGGAGACACGGGGGGGGAGGGGGGGGCGGAGACACAGAGTGGGACGTGTGTCTATGTGTGTGTCTATGCGTGTGTGTCTATGCGTGTGTGTCTATGCGTGTGTGTCTATGCGTGTGTGTCTATGCGTGTGTGTCTATGCGTGTGTCTATGCGTGTGTGTCTATGCGTGTGTGTCTATGCGTGTGTGTCTATGCGTGTGTGTCTATGCGTGTGTGTCTATGCGTGTGTGTCTATGCGCGCGTCTCTATGCGCGCGTGTCTATGCGCGCGTGTCTATGCGTGTGTGTCTATGCCGAGTGAGGAGCGGAGGTGCAGCGGTTAGCGCTACGCCGCGCTACGAACCCGGCGACCCGAGTTCGATTCACGCTCACGGCCAACACCACCGGTGACGATTATCTGAACCAGTCATGGGCCTCCCCTAGGTCGACTTGGCCTAAAAGATGAGTTACCTGGCGCGGTGCGTGTAGCAAACGTCACCACTGTGGGAGACAAAAGCGGCCCGGGCGTGGTTGCTGGCAACACACCCCACCCCGTGTGTGTCTGCGTGTGTGTCTACGTGTGTGCAGTGTCTACGTGTGCGGTTTCTACGTGTGTGTGCGGTGTCTATGTGTGTGTCTACGTGTGTGTGCGGTGTCTACGTGTCTACTTGTGTGTGCGGTGTCTACGTGTGTGCGGTGTCTACGTGTGTGTCTACGTGTGTGTCTAGGTGTGTGTCTAGGTGTGTGTCTAGGTGTGTGCGGTGTCTACGTGTGTGCGGTGTCTATGTGTGTGCCTGTGTGTCTACGTGTGTGCCTGTGTGTGTGCGGTGTCTACGTGTGTGTCTGTGTGTGTGTGCGGTGTCTATGTGTGTGCCTGCGTGTGTGTGCCTGTGTGTGTGCGGTGTCTACATGTGTGCCTGCGTGTGTGCGGTGTCTATGTGTGTGCCTGCGTGTCTACGTGTGTGCCTGCGTGTGTGCGGTGTCTACGTGTGTGTCTACGTGTCTATGTGTGTGCGGTGTCTACGTGTGTGCCTGCATGTGTGCCTGCGTGTGTGCGGTGTCTACTTGTGTGTCTGCGTGTGTGCAGTGTCTACGTGTGTGTCTGCGTGTGTGCAGTGTCTACGTGTGTGTCTGCGTGTGTGCAGTGTCTACGTGTGTGTCTACGTGTTTGTCTACGTGTGTGCCTGCGTGTCTACGTGTGCGCACCTGCGTGTGTGTCTACGTGTGCGCACCTGCGTGTGTGTGCCTGCGTGTGTGTGTCTCTGCGTGTGTGTGTCTCTGCGTGTGTGTGTCTCTGCGTGTGTGTGTCTCTGCGTGTGTGTGCCTGCGTGTGTGTGCCGTGTCTTTGCGTGCAAGTCTCACGGGAGGGGGATGGTGATGACGACGTCCGTGAGCTCCAGCGCCTCCTCCTGCAGCTCGTACTCAATGTTCACGTCACAGCCAGAGCCGCTCTCCGACGGCCAGCAGTTTACTGGGGAGACGCGCGGAGACACAGGGGGACGTGAGACACGGGGAGACACGCGGGGGACACAGGGGACGTGAGACACAGGGAGACACGCGGGGGACACAGGGGACGTGAGACACGGGGAGACACGCGGGGGACACGGGGGACGTGAGACACGGGGAGACACGCGGGGGACACAGGGGACGTGAGACACGGGGAGACACGCGGGGGACACGGGGGACGTGAGACACGGGGAGACACGCGGGGGACACAGGGGACGTGAGACACGGGGAGACACGCGGGGGACACGGGGGACGTGAGACACGGGGAGACACGCGGGGGACACAGGGGACGTGAGACACGGGGAGACACGCGGGGGACACGGGGGACGTGAGACACGGGGAGACACGCGGGGGACACAGGGGGACGTGAGACACGGGGAGACACGCGGGGGACACGGGGGGACGTGAGACACGGGGAGACACGGGGAGACACGTGGGGGACACGGGGGACGTGAGACACGGGGAGACACGTGGGGGACGTGAGACACGGGGAGACACGTGGGGGACGTGAGACACGGGGAGACACGTGGGGGACGTGAGACACGGGGAGACACGTAGGGGACACCGGGGACGTGAGACACGGGGAGACACGTGGGGGACGTGAGACACGGGGAGACACGGGGAGACACGTGGGGGACACGGGGGACGTGAGACACGGGGAGACACGTGGGGGACACGGGGGACGTGAGACACGGGGAGACACGGGGAGACACGCGGGGACGTGAGACACGGGGAGACACGCGGGGAGACACATGGGCATCACCCTGAGGCCTCCTTCACCCCCGTTCTGCCCCTCACCCGGTGAGTGTGCGTACTGGTGAGTGTGTGTGTGTGTGCGTACTGGCGAGTGTGTGTACTGGCGAGAGTGTGCGTGCGTACTGGCGAGTGTGTGTGCGTGTGTACTGGCGAGTGTGTGTACTGGTGAGTGTGTGTACTGGTGAGTGTGTGTGTGTGTGCGTACTGGCGAGTGTGTGTACTGGCGAGAGTGTGCGTGTGTACTGGCGAGTGTGTGTGCGTACTGGTGAGAGTGTGTACTGGCGTGTGTGTGTGTGTGTGCGTACTGGCGAGTGTGTGTACTGGCGAGAGTGTGCGTGCGTACTGGCGAGTGTGTGTGCGTGTGTACTGGCGAGTGTGTGTGCGTACTGGTGAGTGTGTGTACTGGCGAGTGTGTGTGTGTACTGGCGAGTGTGTGTGTGTGCGTACTGGTGAGTGTGTGTGAGTACTGGTGAGTGTGCGTGTGTGTACTGGTGAGTGTGTGTGTGTGCGTACTGGTGAGCGGAACGAAGCTCTCGTCCGCCGTCTGCAGCCTCCACTTGAGGACCCCCACGTCGGTGTTGAGGGGAAACGACTTCTCGGCGTTCTTGAGGCCAATCACCGACGAGGCGGTGAACAGCTTCTTGTCCACGTTGGGGTGCGTCTGGACGAGACACAGAGACAAAGGTCCCCCGTGTAGCCTCGGCAGACTGTAGGGGCAAGCGCTGTTAGCGAGCAGCAGCAGCAGCACCTACGAAGGCCGGCACGGCACACGAGGGGGTGGGTGGCCCAGCACCAGTACCCATTTGAGGCCGAGTCGACCTAGGGGAGGCCCGGTGCTGGTTCAGATAATCGTCACCGTGAGTGGGAATCGAAGCCGGGTCGCCGGGTTCGTAGCGCAGCGTAGCGCTGACCGCTACACCACCGACACGGGGTTCACACAGAGAGACGGACAGATCGACGCACGCGCAGAGAGAGACGCGTACAGAGAGAGAGAGATATTCATGAAGAAAGATGCAGGCGAGTTGGTGAGTGAGTGGACGGGCGGGCGAGCGGGTGGACGGGTGGGCGAGCGAGCGGACGAGCGAGCGAGTGGACAGGTGGGTGAGCGAGTGGACGGGTGGGCGAGCGGGCGGACGAGTGAGTGGGGGACGGGTGAGGGAGCGAGTGGACGGGTGGGCGAGCGGGTGGGCGAGCGAGTGGACGGGTGGGCGAGCGGGCGGACGGGTGGGCGAGTGAGTGGGGACGGGTGGGCGAGCGAGAGGACGGGTGGCTGGGCAAGTGGGCGAGTGGATAGGTAGGTGGGTGGGTGGGTGAGCGGACGAATCGGTGAGCCGGAGGGCGGACGAGCGGACAGGTGGACGAGCGAGTGAGCGGATGGGCGGGCGGGCGAGCGGACGAGCGAGCGGCCGGACGGGTTGCCGCGGCGACGCGCGAGCTCCCGCCGCGGTCCGCGTGGGTCACCTGCAGCTGCGCGCCCTTCTTGTCGTTGTTGTCCACGGCGATGCGGATGCGTGCGTGGCTCTCGTCGGCCACGCGCAGCGTCACCATGCCCAGCAGCTCCATGCTCTGCAGGCCGCCGTCGCGGCCGCACACCAGCGAGAGCTTCTCCTCCACGCGCAGGTGCACGCTGCGGAGCACGCGGCCAGACACGGGGTTACCGGCGGGGCGGCACGGGCGGACCGCCGTCACGGACACGCACCGGCGGGCGTGCGAGGGTGGACGAGCGAGCGCCTCTCGGTGCGAGCCGGCGCTGCGATGGCGGGCGAGCTAGCAAGCATGCGACTGAGTGAGCGTGCGACTGAGTGAGCGTGCGAGTAAGCGAGCGACTGAGTGAGCGTGCGAGCGAGCGTCTCTCGGTGTGAGCCAGCGCTGCGATGGCGGGTGAGCGTGCGAGCGAGTGTGGGTGAGCGTGCGAGCGAGTGTGGGTGAGCGTGCGACTGAGTGAGCGTGGGGGTGAGCGTGCGACTGAGTGAGCGTGCGAGTGTCTCTCGGTGTGAACCAGCGCCGATGGCGTGCGAGCGAGCGTGTGAGCGAGCGTGCGAGTCCGCATGCCTCTCTGTGTGAGAGTGGGTGTGAGGGTGGGTGTGAGAGTGGGTGTGAGAGTGGGTGTGAGAGTGGGTGTGAGAGTGGGTGTGAGAGTGGGTGTGAGAGTGGGTGTGAGAGTGGGTGTGAGAGTGGGTGTGAGAGTGGGTGTGAGAGTGGGTGTGAGGGTGGGTGTGAGCGTGGGTGTGAGAGTGGGTGTGAGCGTGGGTGTGAGAGTGGGTGTGAGAGTGGGTGTGAGAGTGGGTGTGAGAGTGGGTGTGAGAGTGGGTGTGAGGGTGGGAGTGAGAGTGGGTGTGAGAGTGGGTGTGAGAGTGGGTGTGAGGGTGGGTGTGAGAGTGGGTGTGAGAGTGGGTGTGAGGGTGGGTGTGAGAGTGGGTGTGAGAGTGCGTGAGCGAGCGTGTGTGAGCGAGCGAGCGTACGAGTCTGCATGCCTCTCCGTGTGAGCGTGCGAGTGTGTGAGCAAGCGAGCGTGTGAGCGAGCGTGCGAGTCCGCATGCCTCTCCGTGTGAGCGTGTGTGTGAGCGTGCGTGTGAGCGAGCGAGCGTGTGAGCGTGCGAGTGAGCGTGCGAGTTCGCATGCCTCTCCGTGTGAGCGAGCGTGTGAGCGTGTGAGCGTGCGAGTGAGCGTGCGAGTTCGCATGCCTCTCCGTGTGAGCGAGCGTGTGAGCGTGTGAGCATGCGTGTGAGCGTGCGTGTGAGCGTGCATGTGAGCATGCGTGCGAGTCCGCATGCCCCTCCGTGTGAGCGGGCGTGTGAGCGTGTGAGCGAGTGAGCGTGCGTGCGAGTGAGCATGCGAGCGAGTGAGCGTGCGAGCGAGTGAGCGTGCGTGCGTGCGAGTCCGCATGCCTCTCCGTGTGAGCGTGCGTGAGCGTGTGTGAGCGTGCGTGCGAGTCCGCATGCCTCTCCGTACGAGTGAGCGTGCGTGTGAGCGAGTGAGCGTGTGTGCGAGTCCGCATGCCTCTCCGTGTGAGCGGGCGTGTGAGCGTGTGAGCGAGTGAGCATGCGAGCGTGTGAGCGTGCGAGTGAGCGTGCGAGTGAGCGTGCGTGTGAGCGAGTGAGCGTGCGTGCGAGTGAGCGTGCGTGTGAGTCCGCATGCCTCTCCGTGTGAGCGGGCGGCGCGACGGCCTTGCCGTTGTCCTGGCGCTTGTGTGCCGCCGCGCTGGAGGCGACCACGCGCTCGCCCTCCGACTTGAGCTTGTCCACAAACGAGTCCACCTCCTTGCCCTTGCTGCCCAGCTTCATCGCCTTCCCGCTCGAGCGGCTGCCTCAACAACAACCGCAACCGCGTCACCCACCGCCCCGACAACCGCAACAACCGAACGCGGAGGGGTAGACAAAAAGCCGGGGGAAACGGATAGAAATCCACGGAGACCACGGGGAGAGAGAGAGAGACACCGCAAACTACAAATACGCAGCAGCAGCAGCAGCAGGGTCGGGATGCGAACCCACGACCTCCTGTACACCAGGCGAGATAGTTAACATCTCCTAGCCACCGTGATGATGATGAGAGAGGGATCGAACCCACGACCTCCTGTAGACCAGGCGAGGTAGTTAACATCTCATAGCCACCGTGGTGATGATGATGAGAGAGGGATAGAACCCACGACCTCCTGTAGACCAGGCGAGGTAGTTAACATCTCATAGCCACCGTGATGATGATGAGAGAGGGATAGAACCCACGACCTCCTGTAGACCAGGCGAGGTAATTAACATCTCCTAGCCACCGTGATGATGATGAGAGAGGGATAGAACCCACGACCTCCTGTAGACCAGGCGAGGTAGTTAACATCTCATAGCCACCGTGATGATGATGAGAGGGATAGAACCCACGACCTCCTGTAGACCAGGTGAGGTAGTTAACATCTCCTAGCCACCGTGATGATGATGAGAGAGGGATAGAACCCACGACCTCCTGTAGACCAGGTGAGGTAGTTAACATCTCCTAGCCACCGTGATGATGATGAGAGAGGGATCGAACCCACGACCTCCTGTACACCAGGCGAGGTAGTTAACATCTCCTAGCCACCGTGATGATGATGAGAGAGGGATGGAACCCACGACCTCCTGTACACCAGGCGAGGTAGTTAACATCTCATAGCCACCGTGATGATGATGAGAGGGGGATCGAACCCACGACCTCCTGTAGACCTGGCGAGGTAGTTAACATCTCCTAGCCACCGTGATGATGATGAGAGAGGGATAGAACCCACGACCTCCTGTAGACCTGGCGAGGTAGTTAACATCTCCTAGCCACCGTGATGATGATGAGAGAGGGATCGAACCCACGACCTCCTGTAGACCTGGCGAGGTAGTTAACATCTCCTAGCCACCGTGATGATGATGAGAGAGAGAGATCGAACCCACGACCTCCTGTGCACCAGGCGAGGTAGTTAACATCTCCTAGCCACCGTGATGATGATGAGAGAGGGATCGAACCCACGACCTCCTGTAGACCAAGCGAGGTAGTCAACATCTCATAGCCACCGTGATGATGATGGGAGAGGGATAGAACCCACGACCTCCTGTGCACCAGGCGAGGTAGTTAACATCTCATAGCCACCGTGAGATGGAGCCCACGACCTCCTGTATACCAGGCGAGGTAGTTACATCTCCCAGCCACCGTGATGATGATGAGAGAGGGATCGAACCCACGACCTCCTGTAGACCAGGCGAGGTAGTTAACATCTCCTAGCCACCGTGATGATGATGAGAGGGATAGAACCCACGACCTCCTGTAGACCAGGTGAGGTAGTTAACATCTCCTAGCCACCGTGATGATGATGAGAGAGGGATAGAACCCACGACCTCCTGTAGACCAGGCGAGGTAGTTAACATCTCCTAGCCACCGTGATGATGATGAGAGAGGGATAGAACCCACGACCTCCTGTAGACCAGGCGAGGTAGTTAACATCTCCTAGCCACCGTGATGATGATGAGAGGGATAGAACCCACGACCTCCTGTAGACCAGGTGAGGTAGTTAACATCTCCTAGCCACCGTGATGATGGGAGAGAGAAACGCCGCAAACTCCAAATATACATCAGCAGGCGCCAGGGCCGGGATGCGAACCCACGAGCCACCCGCGTACCGGGCGAGGTCGTTAACATCTCGGCGCGCTGACCTGGCCGCCACGGAGGTCGCCCTGGGCTTGTCGTTGTCGTCCAGCGCCGAGCCCCCAAGAACGGGGGAGGAGGGGGCGCCCCCCCCCACGCCCCCCATGCCGCCCCCTCCCCCGCCGAAGCCCCCGAAGGCCGGGGCCTTCTTGCCCGTGCGCTCGGCGTCGCGCCGCACGGCCTGGAGCTCCTTGGCACGCTTCTTCATCTCGGCTCGCGCCTCCCGCTCCTGGGTCTGTGGGGCAGAGGGGGAGCGTGGGCGAGGGAGGAGCGTGAGAGCGTGAATGAGTGCGTGTGTGTGTGTGGGTGTGTTGGTGTGTGTATGGGTGGGTTGGTGTGTATGGGTGGGTGTGTATGAGTGGGTTGGTGTGTGTATGGGTGGGTTGGTGTGTGTATGGGTGTGTTGGTGTGTGTATGGGTGTGTTGGTGTGTGTATGGGTGTGTTGGTGTGTGTATGGGTGGGTTGGTGTGTATGGGTGGGTGTGTATGGGTGTGTTGGTGTGTGTATGGGTGTGTTGGTGTGTGTATGGGTGTGTGTGTATGAGTGGGTTGGTGTGTGTATGGGTGGGTCGGTGTGTGTATGGGTGGGTTGTCGTGTGTATGGGTGGGTTGGTGTGTGTATGGGTGTGTGTGTATGAGTGGGTTGGTGGGTGTATGGGTGGGCTGGTGTGTGTATGGGTGGGCTGGTGTGTGTATGGGTGGGTTGGTGTGTGTATGGGTGGGTTGGTGTGTGTATGGGTGGGTTGGTGTGTGTATGGGTGTGTTGGTGTGTGTATGGGTGGGTTGGTGTGTGTATGGGTGGGTTGGTGGGTGTATGGGTGGGCTGGTGTGTGTATGGGTGGGCTGGTGTGTGTATGAGTGGGTTGGTGTGTGTATGGGTGGGTTGGTGTGTGTATGGGTGGGTTGGTGTGTGTATGGGTGTGTTGGTGTGTGTATGAGTGGGTTGGTGGGTGTATGGGTGGGCTGGTGTGTGTATGGGTGGGCTGGTGTGTGTATGAGTGGGTTGGTGTGTGTATGGGTGGGTTGGTGTGTGTATGGGTGTGTTGGTGTGTGTATGGGTGGGTTGGTGTGTGTATGGGTGGGTTGGTGTGTGTATGGGTGGGTTGGTGTGTGTATGGGTGGGTTGGTGGGTGTATGGGTGTGTTGGCGTGTGTATGGGTGTGTTGGTGTGTGTATGGGTGTGTTGGCGTGTGTATGGGTGTGTTGGCGTGTGTATGGGTGGGTTGGCGTGTGTATGGGTGTGTTGGCGTGTGTATGGGTGTGTTGGCGTGTGTATGGGTGTGTTGGTGTGTGTATGGGTGTGTTGGCGTGTGTATGGGTGTGTTGGCGTGTGTATGGGTGGGTTGGCGTGTGTATGGGTGGGTTGGTGTGTGTATGGGTGTGTCGGCGCGTGTATGGGTGTGTTGGTGTGTGTATGGGTGGGTTGGTGTGTGTATGGGTGGGTTGGTGTGTGTATGGGTGTGTTGGTGTGTGTATGGGTGGGTTCACGAGCGTCTCTGACCTCTCGCACGGCACGGAACACCTTCTCCTCGTGCGAGTCCATCTCCGTGAAGGTTCGGATCTGCGCCAGGTTGACGTTCTCACGGTAGCCCAGCGCCACGATCTCGTCGAAGGCGAAGATCAGCTCGAAGCAGCGCTCCGCAATCTCGCTCTCCTCCAGTACCTTGCAGTACTCGGGGACCTGGGAGTGCAACACGCACACACACACAGATACACACACACACAGATATACACACACACACAGATACACACACACACACAGATACACACACACACACACAGATACACGCACACACACACACGGAGATACACACACACGGAGATACACACACACACACACACGCAGACACACAGACACACACAGACACACACACACACACAGACACAATCTCGCTCTCCTCCAGTACCTTGCAGTACTCGGGGACCTGGGAGTGCAACACGCACACACACACGGAGATACACACACAGATACACACACACACACGGATATATATACACACATACATAGATACACACACACACGGAGATACACACATACACACACAATCTCACTCTCCTCCAGCACCTTACAGTACTAGGGGACCTGGGAGCACACACACACACGACAAAGGTCCCCCGTGTAGCCTTAACAGACTGTAGGGGCAAGTGCTGTTAGCGAGCACCTATGAAGGCCGGAACGGTACACGAGGGGGTGGGTGGCCAGCACCACGCCCGACCGCCTTTGTCTCCCTAGTGGCAATGTTCACACACACACAGATACACACACACACAGATACACACACACACAGAGACACACACAGATACACACACACACACAGAGACACACACACACAGAGACACACACACACAGAGACACACACACACAGAGACACACACAGATATATACACACACAGATACACACACACACAGATACACACACACACAGATACACACACACAGATATATATACACACACACATACACAGATACACACACATACACAGATACACACACAGAGACACACACACAGATATACACACACACACACGGATATATACACACACACACAGATACACACACACACACAGATACACACACACACAGAGATACACATACACACAGAGATACACACATACACACACAATCTCACTCTCCTCCAGCACCTTACAGTACTAGGGGACCTGGGAGCACACACGCACACACGACAAAGGTCCCCCGTGTAGCCTTAACAGACTGTAGGGGCAAGTGCTGTTAGCGAGCACCTATGAAGGCCGGAACGGTACACGAGGGGGTGGGTGGCCAGCACCACGCCCGACCGCCTTTGTCTCCCTAGTGGCAATGTTCACACACACACAGATACACACACACACAGATACACACACACACAGATACACACACACACAGATACACACACACACACAGAGATACACACACACAGACACAATCTCACTCTCCTCCAGCACCTTACAGTACTAGGGGACCTGGGAGCGCACACACACACACAAGACAAAGATTCCCCGTGTAGCCTTAACAGACTGTTGGGGCAAGTGCCGTTAACGAGCACCTACGAAGGCCGGCACGGCACGCGAGGGGGTAAGTAAGCACCTCCCCCGGCCGTCTTTGTCTCCCCGGCGGTGAAATCTTTACACCCCGCACCAGGTACTCATTTGAGGCCGAGCCGACTCAATGGAGGGGGGCCCAGGACCGGTTTGAATAATCGGGAATCGAACCCCGGATTCGCCCGCGCGCTAACCGCTGCACCACCGCTCCCCCCACCCCCGGGCAGGGTCGCCCTCGCCGCCGACCCACCACCCTGGAGAAGAGGCGCAGGGTCTCGAGGTCCTCCAGGATGTTGGAGTTCTTGGTGGTGACGAGGAGCACGTAAAGCTTCTCGAGGGGCTGGTAGACGTAGCGCACACTGTCCGTCTCCACGAACGTGTGCTGCCTGCCCGAGCCCATGAGCTTGGGGAAGGCAGAGAGGAGGCCCTCGATGCGCGAGCGCGACATCTCCACAAACTGGCGCGACACGACGGCCCGGCCCGCCTTGGTGCACACGGCCGCCGCCAGAAGCACCTACAGGGTAGCGGCGAGGGGGCGGGGGGAGCGTACAGACACACGTACAGACACACGTACAGACACACGCACAGACACACGCACAGACACACGCACAGACACACGCACAGACACACGCACAGACACACGTACAGACACACAGACACACGCACAGACGCACGCACAGACGCACGTACAGACACACGTACAGACACACGTACAGACACACGTACAGACACACGCACAGACACACGCACAGACACACGCACAGACACACGCACAGACACACGTACAGACACACGTACAGACACACAGACACACGTACAGACACACGTACAGACACACGCACAGACACACGTACAGACACACGCACAGACGTACAGACACACGTACAGACACACAGACACACGTACAGACACACGTACAGACACACGTACAGACACACGTACGGACACACGTACGGACACACGCACAGACACACGCACAGACACACGCACAGACACACGCACAGACACACGTACAGACACACGGACACACACACGTACAGACACACGTACAGACACACGTACAGACACACGCACAGACACACAGACACACGCACAGACACACAGACACACGTACAGACACACGTACAGACACACGTACAGACACACAGACACACGTACAGACACACGTACAGACACACAGACACACGTACAGACACACGGACACACGTACAGACACACGTACAGACACACACACAGACACACGTACAGACACACGTACAGACACACGTACAGACACACGTACAGACACACGTACAGACACACAGACACACGTACAGACACACAGACACACGTACAGACACACGTACAGACACACGTACAGACACACGTACAGACACACAGACACACGTACAGACACACGCACAGACACACGTACACACGTACAGACACACGCACAGACACACGCACAGACGCACGCACAGACGCACGTACAGACGCACGTACAGACGCACGTACAGACGCACGTACAGACGCACGTACAGACGCACGTACAGACGCACGTACAGACGCACGCACAGACGCACGTACAGACACACGGACACACGTACAGACACACGTACAGACACACGCACAGACACGTACTGGGCGAGTGGCTGGGTGAGTGGCTGGGTGAGTGGCTGGGTGAGTGGCTGGGTGAGTGGCTGGGTGAGTGCAAGTGGAGTTTCTGTTCGTAGCGCAGTGTGCTAACCGTTTTACCACCGACCCCGCCACACACACACACAAAGAAAGAGACAAAGATCCTCCGAGTAGCCTCTAACGGACTGTAGGGGCAAGTGCTGTTAGTGAGCACCTACGACCGCCGGTACGGCACACGAGGGGGTGGGTGGCCAGCACCACGCCCGGCCACCTTTGTCTCCCCCTAGTGGCGGTGTTTACACACTGCACCAGGTTACTCATTTGAGGCCTAGTCGACATAGGGTCACCGGTGTTGGCGGTGAGCTGGAATCGAACTCGTAGTGCAGCGCGCTAACCACTGCGCCACCACTCCCCGCCACGCAAGCATACACAGTCCCAAGCACTTGCGGGTGAGACCGGGTGAGATGCGGGTGAGATTCGGGTGAGATGCGGGAGCCTCGAGACTTTGCACTCGATATAATTCCAGGTGAGAAATCCGGCGAGCCAACACCCACCGATACGACTTTGGACGGCGTTTACAGCATTTCTCCGTACCGGAATAGCGGCGGCCCGTGTCCCCACCTTCTTATTCCTGCGGGGGGCCTCTGATCACCTCGCCCGTCGCCCCCCCCCCCCAAATGACGTACTCTTCTTTCCCACCCCCCCCAAAGTGTGTAGATACTACCGACTCTATAGTAAGTAGGATGTGAAGAAGAGACTGACTATGGTACGTAGGATGTGTAGTAGATACACTCTATAGTAAGTAGGGTGTGTAGAAGTGACTATTGTATGTAGGATGTGTAGTAGATACTCTATAGTAAGTAGGGTATATAGAGACTGACTATTGTATGTAGGATGTGTAGTAGATACACTCTATAATAAGTAGGGTATGTAGAAGTGACTATTGTATGTAGGATGTGTAGTAGATACTCTATAGTAAGTAGGATGTGTAGAAGTGACTGACTATGGTACGTAGGATGTGTAGAAGATACACTCTATAATAAGTAGGGTATGTAGAAGTGACTATTGTATGTAGGATGTGTAGTAGATACTCTATAGTAAGTAGGGTGTGTAGTAGACTGACTATTGTATGTAGGATGTGTAGTAGATACACTCTATAATAAGTAGGGTGTGTAGTAGTGACTATTGTATGTAGGATGTGTAGTAGATACATTCTATAATAAGTAGGGTATGTAGTAGTGACTATTGTATGTAGGATGTGTAGTAGATACACTCTATAATAAGTAGGGTGTGTAGTAGACTGACTATTGTATGTAGGATGTGTAGTAGATACACTCTATAGTAAGTAGGGTGTGTAGTAGTGACTATTGTATGTAGGATGTGTAGTAGATACACTCTATAGTAAGTAGGGTGTGTAGTAGTGACTATTGTATGTAGGATGTGTAGTAGATACACTATAATAAGTAGAGTGTGTAGTAGTGACTGACTACTGTATGTAGGATGTGTAGTAGATACACTCTATAATAAGTAGGGTATGTAGAAGTGACTGACTATTGTATGTAGGATGTGTAGAAGATACTCTATAAGTAGGGTATGTAGAAGTGACTATTGAATGTAGGATGTGTAGGCATATATACAAAAGTCAGTCGATACAACAGACTCAGTAGATACTACTGACTATTCGATATAGCGTGTGTAGGCATATATGCCCATACATACAATAGTCAGTAGATACTTCTACATACAAGAGGATCAGTAGATACTACTGACTCAGTCGATACTACTGACTCTATTTCTACGTAGAGTGTGTAGGTATATATGCCTACAAAATTCATATCATTTTTTTCAGGGGGGTGGGAGTGAATGTTTTTTTTACATCTGATGGTGGGGTCCACTTCCTAAAACTTTATGATTCAGGCCTTCAGGAAAGGCTCTTACAATTCAGACAAAACGGAGCGCCGTGCTTTCATAAGCAGATGCATGTTGAAGTCTTGTCGCGACCAACCGTACACGTACGTATGCCGACCACGGTAATCGGAGGTGCGGGGGAAAGATAACAAACGAAAGACGAAAAGCAGTTCTGAAAAAATAAAGTTTTTAAATCTAGATGATTTTAAAAAATGCATGGTTCCCAGTGGCTTCCCATTGCATTCTAGATTTAACTTCCCATTGCATGTACGCTGAACTTCTTTCCCACCGTACGTGGCCAACCGTGGCTAATGGGAGGTGTGGCGGAGAGGAACAGCAACAACAAACCGGGCACAAGAAGTGAGTTTTCAATCTCGAAAGGAGTTTTTTTTCAATGACGTTGGGACGTGTGAGACAAAGCGAGAGTGGAACAGAGGCAGAGACATAAACGGCGAGGGAGACACAGACGGCAGGAATCAGAGAGACGGAGGCAATAATGGTGGTAAATTATGACGACGACGATGATGTCGATGAAGACTGATTATGTTAATGGGAAAAAACGGTGATCATGGTGACAATGATTACGATAATTTGGCACAATCAAGATGATAATGATACAATTTTCCATGCAATGTCGATTTACCGGACGTCTAAATGTGACCGCATCTCAAGATGCTGCACAGCAACACTGGGCACATGTATTTCATGGTCTCTTTGTGAGTCTACACATTTCTATGCGAGTCAATGGGTCTCTATGCGAGTCTATGGCTATGTGAATGTAAGAGGGACCAGTCAGTCATTGGTCTCTCTGTGAGTCTATGGGTCTCTATGCGAGTCTATGAGTCTCCACGTGACTGAGAGATGGTAATTTGTCTATTTGCGAGTCTACGGTTCTTTATGCGAGTCTCTAAGTCCTATGAAAGCCTAGTGGACATATTTTCAGGGGAGAGAGAGAGAGGCTTCAACTTCAGTTTCATTTATTTGGGAGCCATTCGGCCCTTGAAACTGGGGGCAGGAAGTCAACAGCACTGGGGGCGAGGGAGTTCCAGACACTGGGAGCAGCAGAGGACAATGAGTGACCTCCCACTGAGCGAAGGTTGACGGGGGGGGGGGGGACACTTCGACAAAACACCCTGATGGCTGCTGCTGCTGATGATGCTGAACCTTTTGCACCGTACGTAGCCATCTGTGCTCATCGCCGAGCGGGTGAGTGACTGTGTGAGTGGGTGAGTGACTATGCAAGTGGGTGAGTGACTACAATAGCGGGTGAGTGACTATGTGAGTGGGTAAGTGGCTATGCGAGTGGGTGAGTGACTACGCTAGCGGGTGAGTAACTATGTGAGTGGGTGAGTGACTATGCGAGTGGGTGAGTGACTATGCGAGTGGGTGAGTGACTATGCGAGTGGGTGGGTGACTACGCGAGTGGGTGAGTGACTATGTGAGTGGGTAAGTGACTATGCGAGTGGGTGAGTGACTATGTGAGTGGGTGAGTGACTATGTGAGTGGGTGAGTGACTATGCGAGTGGGTGAGTGACTGCGTGAGTGGGTGACTGTGTGAGTGACTATGCGAGTGGATGAGTGACTGTGTGTGGGTGAGTGACTACGCTAGCGGGTGAGTGACTATGTGAGTGGATGAGTGACTATGTGAGTGGGTGAGTGACTACGCGAGTGGGTGAGGGACTGTGTGAGTGGGTGAGTGATTGTGCGAGTGGGTGAGTGACTGTGTGAGTGGGTGAGTGACTGTGTGAGTGGGTGAGTGACTATGTGAGTGGGTGAGTGACTGTGAGTGGGTGAGTGACTATGTGAGTGGGTGAGTGACTATGTGAGTGGGTGAGTGACTGTGAGTGGGTGAGTGACTGTGTGAGTGGGTGAGTGACTATGTGAGAGGGTGAGTGACTATGCGAGTGGGTGAGTGACTGCGTGAGTGGGTGAGTGACTACGCTAGCGGGTGAGTGACTATGTGAGTGGATGAGTGACTATGTGAGTGGGTGA